ACTTTACTCGTTACTAGAAAAAAGTAATCGGATTACAGTAACACGTTACAAGTAACGCGTTACTGCCCATCTCTGACTGTAACTATACAACATTTAAATATAAGAAAGAAATTAGAATTACTATCATTTTCTTCAATGCCATGTGCTAACACAATGCAGAGAAGCTACCGAAACTTTACTATAAAACAGGTCAATAATAATATTGTCACATCTGAACAAGTCACCTCAAAGCGCTTTATATTGTAAAGTAAAGACAACATTACTGTTACTAATTGAAGAAAACAGGTTCAGAGTTATAGCTCTAAGTGCTAATGACTTTGTGAATTTCCATTCATCCATCTTCTTCTGCTGCCTGGTCGTGGGTACAGCAGCCTAAGCAGAGAAGCCCAGACCTCCCTCTCCTCAGCCTCCTCCTCCAGCTCAGCCAGCCGAGAGAGATAATCTCTCCAACGTCTAAAATCCTTACCCTGTCTCTAAGGGAGAGGCCAGCCAACTTTCAGAGAAAGCTCATTTACACCACTTCATCCATGATCTTGTTCTTTCAGGGTGAGGGTGGGGACGTAGATTGACCGGTAAATCGAGAGTTTGGCTTTTTCGCTCAGTTTTCTCTTCACCGTGACTGACAGGTTACCACTTATTGGCTGCACTGACCTGTCTGTTGATCTCCCCCCTCCCCTCACTTGTGAACAAGACCCTTAGATACTTCCCATTCCCGTCCCTGACCCAGAATGGGCACTCCACCCTTTTCAGAGTGAGGACCTGAGGTCCATCTTGTTCTTTCCATTCAGCTGAGTCCTCTGGACTTGCTTTACTGTGTGCAGGTATTTGGTGGTTGGAGCCTCTTTGTGGTTCCCATTTGCCCGTGGGATTACCAAGTACTTGTAGCTGACCTCAGTGTCTGCAATCCCCTCAGTTCTGACTACTAAGTAGTAGTTACCATCCAACTACACTTCTCCAGCCCGAAAGACATTCCAGTGCCGTTGGTGTAGATCAGTAAATCGATGTCTTGTTCACTCCTGGCATACAGCTTGATGTCATCCATGTAGAGGAGGTGGTTGGCATTGGTCCATTCCAGTCCAGGGGTTCAGGCCTATGCAGAACAGCAGTGGGAACAGAGCATTTCCTTGGTAAATCCTGCTCTTGATAGTGACTCATCCTATTGGCTTGAAGCTGGCCTGTAGTGATGTTCGCCACATCCCCATGGAGTTCCTAACGGAGCCTCTTAGGGTCCTGTTGATCTTTTGTAGTTCTAGGCATTCATGGATCCATGTGTGCGGCACTGAGTCACAGGCTTAGCCCACAGGTAGATCTGGTCTTGCACTGTTGAGTGACTGTTCTGTCCACCAGTTGTTGGTGTTTCCCCCCTCTGGTGGTGCTCCTGCCAATTCCTTTCTGTGGCTCCACTCATGTATCGAGCCATAAGCCTGTTCACCTTAGCCACTATGATGCCTGACGGGAGCCTCAATGTGGTAGTGAGAAAACATATTTGGTAGTTGGATGGGACCAGTCTCCTCTGGGGATCCATGGGACTTGGGAATATCCGGCCTTCAGTTAGCTGTTCTTTGTGTGTCTCATCCATTAGCAGCTGGTTCATTTGTGGTGCGAGACAGTAGGCATGAATCATGACAGGGTAGCTGGTTTATTTTCCTGCCTTCTGTCTCTCTGGTAACAAGCTATACCTCTTCAACTCAGGCTGTGAGTCTGTGCTTGGCAGTCCTGCCACGGAGTGGATCAGCTGATTAGTCAGCTGTTTGGTGGGCTCCTGCACTTAAACCAGCGCCATCCTCAGC